TTGGGGGAGGGGCAGTGAAGCCCCCTGGGCTCAAGGCTTTATTTATTTGCTATTTATTGCAGTTCCTTTCAGAATTGACTTTTTTTCTCTCTTTTTTTTTTTTGGTTTTTCTGTCGAAATAAAAAATTAAAAAAAAAAAAAAAAACAACAACAACAACAACAAAAATAAAAAAAAAAACCAACCCCAAACCACACCTTAAAATCCCACCAAATTCCCAAAGTCCAGAAGTTTGAAACCATCCCTGGATTCTCCTGGATTTTGGGGGGACACGGGAGCCCCCCCAGGGGAAGGAGCACGGCCACGGCCCTCCGGAATTTCCTCAATAAATCAATTTATTTAAAAGAATATGTTACAATTAATTACACTAAAGGGGCTTTTCCCGACCGGGAACCCGAGGAATGGGAGCAGCTGGAAGAGGGAAAATGGGACAAGGAGGGGGCAGGGTTTTGGTTTTGTATTTTTTTTTACCAATTTCTCCCTTTTCTGGGTGTTTTTTTTTCTTTTTTGATACAAAAACCCACAGGAAGATGGTTCAGTTCTCCTTGATCTGCTGGAATTTGGGGCTAGCGGGAAAATTGGGATGAAAATTCAGTTTTTCCTGGGATTTTACCCAAATTGGGGGTGCTGAAGGAGATTTTAAGGGGGATTTTGGGGATCCCAAACCTCTCCCAGTTTCCCTCCCCCATTCCTGGGTTTTCCACAGCTCAGGGCTCCCGAGGACAACGGAAATCCAATTAATTACAGGGATCCAATTAATGGAATTAATTCCCGGCTCTTGGCTGCTCCAGAGCCGAGGATTTGGGATTTTCCCCCCCCAAAAAAACTCCCCCATCCTGGCTCCTGGGGGAGGAGTGGGGAAAACCCCTTCCCAAAAAGGGGATTTGGGGGAAAATCCCACTTTGGAGCAATTCTGGCACATTCCAGAGGTGGGGAATGAGGCCAGGATGCTCCTGCTGGGTTTGCTTCCAAAAATTCCCAAATCCACCCCAAGCCCTGGCAGAACCAGCTCCAGGCCAGCCCCAAACCAGGCAAAAACGGCTTTTCCAGGTGATTTTTTCCTCCCAAAACATGGAAAAATCCCACTCAAAACCAGGGAAAAATGGCTTTTCCATAATTTTTCCTTCTGGGAATTGCTCAGCTGCCAGATCCACGGAAAAATCCTGCTCAAAACCAAGGAAAAATGGCTTTTCCAGCTCATTTTTCCCTCCTGGGAACATCCCAGCCACTGGATCTGTGTAAAAATCCCATTCAAAACCAGGGAAAATGAGTTTTCCACCTTATTTTTCCTCCAGAACTACGGAAAAATCCTGCTCAAAATGAAGGAAAATGGTTTTTTCCAGGTTATTTTTCCTGCTTGGACACCCAAGTCATGGATAAAAAGTGCTCAAAAATAGGGGAAAATGGCTTTTTTTAGGTTATTTTTCCCTCCTGGGAGCTGCCCAGCCACCGGATCCATGGAAAAATCCCACTCAAAAATAGGAAAATTGTGTTTTTTCCAGGTTCTTTTTCCTCCTGGGAGCTGCTCATCCCCATCCAGGGGCAGCCCTGGGATCCTGGAATCTCCCAGATCCCATCCCAAGGAGCCAGGCACACCCAAATCCCTGGGAAAACACCCCAAAAAGCAGGAATAGAAATCCATGAGCGGGATCCTTGTGCCAGGAGAGGCATTTCCTTGGAATCTGACTCCTTTTGGATGTTTTTCCTGGTTTTTTTAAATCTGTAGTGATTAAAAAAAATGGACTGGGAGGAGAAACAGGTGGAAAATCCCTTTAAAAGCTGCTGCCACCTCGTGGGATTTTAAAGGAATTATTCCCATGGGTGCCCAGGCAGGAATGGAACATTCCCAGGGCTTTTTCCTGCTTTTTCCCCCCATTTATTTTTCCACATCTGACCCAGCAGAAACAACAACTTCTTAATTCCAGTTGTCAGCCTGGAGCTGGATCTGAGTGGGAAAAAGGAGCCCCCTCAGGTGGCTTTTCCCAGTTTTTTTTTTTGTTTTGTTTTGTTTCTTTCCTCTGGAATTCCATAAAGATGACGGGCACGAATGGATTTGGAATTAATGAGATTTAGTTTGGGGGGGGCTTTAATACAATAACGGATTTTTGGGGGTTCCTGGAAAAGCTCCCGGGGTTAAGTGGCCACGTCCCTTTGCTGTGACCTGACCAGCTGGAAAAGGTTCTGGAAAAGAAGGAAAGGGACAAGGTGAAGGTGGCAGAACCCCGGGATTCCCACTGGGAAATGGGATTGAGGAGAGGCTGGGGGTGCTGGGAATGGCTCAGAGCCCAGCTGGGGCTCCCACACACCTGGAATGTCCCAATCCCAATCCCAAATCTAATTCAAATTCCAATGCCAATGCCAATTCCAATTCAAATCCCAATCCTAATGCCAATGCCAATTCCAATTCCTATTTAAATTCCAATGCCAATGCCAATTCCAATTCCTATTTAAATTCCAATGGCAATCCCAATGCCAATGGCAATCCCAATGTCAATGGCAATCCCAATTTAAATTCCAAATCAAATTCCAAGTTCAATCCCAATTCTAATTTCAATTCCAATTCCAATTCCAATGCCAATCCCAATTTAAATTCAAAGTCCAATCCTAATTCTAATCTCAATTCCAATTCCAGTATTCCAATCCCAATCCCAATCCCAATGCCAATCCCAATCCTACCTCCAGGAGCCTTTTCCCAAGTTTATTCTGGCCATTCCCAGCTCCTCAAGGTATTTTCCCAGATTTATCCCAGGTCATCCCCAGCTCCAGGAGCCTTTTCCCAACACCTGCAGCTCCTTTTTCCAGCTGCTCCATGAAACCTTCCCCACTTCCAGAGCTCCTCCCCTGCTTTTCCCCATCCTGGAACTACCCAGACATTCCCTGTGGGAATTATGGACCAGGAAAGCCACCTGGGAAAGGGAAAAGTTTGGAATTCTCACCTCCTTCCTCCACTTGAGCTCGCAGAACACTCGCTCGAAGCACTCGTGCATGTAATTGAACTGCCAGGGAAAAACAGGAATCAGGGAAAATCCAGGGAAAACCCGGGAGATCCAGGGGGAGGGAGGAGATCCAGAGGGGAACTGGGGGCTCCAGTCTGGGGCCAGGAATTCCAGGGAAAAGCCAGGAGCTCCTGGTTCTCGTTCGGAACTTCTGGATCCAGCAGCTCCAGGGAGGAACCAGGAGCTCCAGGTAGGAATCAGGAATTCCAAACAGGATCCAGCAGCTCCAGAGGGGTCCCAGGAGGAACCAGGAGCTCCAGAGAAGGATCAGCCTTTCTGGGATCAATCTCTGGGATCAGCCTCTCCTTCCCCCCTGTCCCAGCTCTCCCTGTGCCTCGCACTCCCCCAGCCCCTATTCCCATAGGAATTCCAGGTGGGGTTTGAGGGAATTCTGGGTGGGGTTTGAGGGAATTTCAGGCAGGGTTTGAGGGAATTCCTGGCAGGATTTGAAGGGAATCTGGGCAGGACTGGGACACTCACACATCCCATTCCCAAGGCCATTCTGGGTGGGAATTGAGGGAATTCCAGGCAGGATTGGGACATTCATGATCCCGGGTGGGATTTGAGGGAATTCCTGGTGAGATTTAAGGGAATTTCTGGCGGGATTGGAGGGCATTCTGGGCGGGGCTTGAGGGAATCCTGGGCGGGGTTTGAGAGAATTCTGGGTGGGATTTGAGGGAATTCTGGGTGGGATTTGAGGGAATTCTGGGCAGGGTTTGAGGGAATTCTGGGCAGGGTTTGAGGGAATCCTGGGCGGGGTTTGAGAGAATTCTGGGTGGGATTTGAGGGAATTCTGGGCAGGGTTTGAGGGAATTCTGGGCAGGGTTTGAGGGCATTCTGGGCAGGGTTTGAGAGAATTCTGGGCAGGGCTTGGGATCAGGACAGGGACACTCAGGATGCCATTCCCAAGGGACTCCCGGGCTCGGTTTGAGGGCATTCCAGGCAGGAATTGAGGGCATTCCAGGCAGGAATTGAGGGCATTCCAGGCAGGGACACTCACGTAGGGGGTGAAGATCTTGACCCAGCGCGGTTTCTTCTCGGCGCGCGCGTACTCGAAGCAGAAGGCCATGCCCTCCTCGTCCGTGTCCCAGCGCTGCATCTCCTCCCACTCGAAGGCGATCACCTGGTTCTGCAGAATTCCCAAACCCAGCTGAGCCAGGATCCTGGGCAGGGCAGCTGGGGGAGCCCCCGGGATCAGGGGGGGTCAGGGAACAGGAGGGTTTGTCCCAGGTTTAGCACAGGGAGGATTCCCAGAGTTATCCTGGGCTGCGCTTCCCAAATCCAGCAGGGAGCTCGGGGAGAGCCCAGGGATTTGCAAATCCAAAGGTGTGAGGTCAGTGATGATCCCAGGGTAAATTCCAGGGAATTGGGGTGATCCCAGGGATTTGGGAACACAGACCAAGTGCAAACCAAGGTGTGAAATCAGGGGTAATCCCAGGGATGCAGGGATGATCCCAGCACAACCTCCAGGGATTTGGGAACACATTCCAGGTGCAAACCAAGGTGGGAGACCAAGGATGATCCCAGGGATTTGGGAACACAGTCCAGGTGCAAACCAAGGTGGGAGACCAAGGATGATCCCAGGTTTATCAGGATGATCCCCAGGGATTTAGGAACACAGAGCAGATGCAAGCCAGGGTGTGAAATGAGGGATAATCCCAGGGGTGCCAGGGATGATCCCAGCACAATCTCCAGGGATTTGGGAACACAGTCCAGGTGCAAATCCAAAGGTGTCAGGTCAGGGACGATCCCAGGGATTTGGGATCACAGTCCAAGTGCAAATCAAGGTAGGAGACCAAGGATGATCCCAGGTATTTGGGAACACTGTGATGACACAAATCAAGGTGTGATCCCAGAGATTTGGGAACACGGTGATGGTGTAAAATCCAGGGTGTGAGGCTGGGGACAACCCCAGGGATTTGGGAACACATTAATGGTGTAAAACCCAGGCTGTGAGGCTCGGGACAATCCCAGGGATTTGGGATGACCCCAGGGATTTGGGAAGAGGGTGATGGTGCAAAACCCACAGTGTGAGCTTGGGAACAACCCCAGGGATTTGGGAACTGGGTGATGGCGTAAAGCCAAGGTGTGAGGCTGGGGACAATCCCAGGGATTTGGGGTGACCCGAGGGATTTGGGAAGAGAGTGATGCTGTAAAATCCACTGTGAGCTTGGGGACAATCCCAGGGAGTTGGGATGACCCCACGGATTTGGGAAGAGGGTGATGGTGTAAAACCCACAGTGTGAGTTTGGGAACAACCCCAGGGATTTGGGGTGACCCCAGGGATTCGGGAGGGCACAGAGGCAGGGCTGTGGGGCCGGGGATGGCAGGGATGGCAGGCATGGCAGGGAATACCTCGAGCTGGCCCTCCTCGGTGCAGGCGTGCAGTTTGAAGTGGCGGATGCTGATGGCCGAGATGACGTGGCCCTTGCGCCGCGAGTCACACGAGCAGTGAGGGAAGGTGATCTCGTTGTAGCCCTCGCACGTCCGCAGCATGTTCAGGTACTGCGGGGACAGCCCAGTCACCGCCTGGGAACAACCCCAGGGATTTGGGAACAGGGTGATGCCGTAAAGCCAAGGTGCGAGGCTGGGGACAACCCCAGGGATTTGGGGTGACCCCATGGATTCGGGAGGGCACAGAGGCAGGGCTGTGGGGCCGGGGATGGCAGGGATGGCAGGCATGGCAGGGAATACCTCGAGCTGGCCCTCCTCGGTGCAGGCGTGCAGTTTGAAGTGGCGGATGCTGATGGCCGAGATGACGTGGCCCTTGCGCCGCGAGTCACACGAGCAGTGAGGGAAGGTGATCTCGTTGTAGCCCTCGCACGTCCGCAGCATGTTCAGGTACTGCGGGGACAGCCCGGTCACCGGGGAGGCACCGGGGTGCCAGGGAATGCACCAGGGTGCCAGGGAGGCATTGGGACCCCAGGGAGTCACCGGGGTGCCAGGGAATGCACCAGGATGGCAGGGAGTCACCAGGATGCCAGGGAATGCACAGGGACCCAAGGGAGTCACCAGGATGCCAGGGAATGCACAGGGACCCAAGGGAGTCACCAGGATCCCAGGGAATGCACAGGGACCCAAGGGAGTCACCAGGATGCCAGGGAATGCGCCGCAATCTCAGGGAATTCACCAGTGTTCTGGAATTCACCAGGATCCCAGGGAGTCACCAGGATCCCAGGGAATGCACACGGACCCCAGGGAGTCACCAAGACCCCAGGGAATACACCAGGATCTCAGGGAATTCACCAGGATTCCAGGGGTTCACTGGGATGCCAGGGATTCACTGGGATGCCAGGGATTCACTGGGATGCCAGGCCCCAGGGAATGCACAGGGACCCCAGGGAATACACCAGCATTCTGGAATTCACCAGGATCTCAGGGAATTCACCAGGATCCCAGGGGTTCACTGGGATGCCAGGGATTCACTGGGACCCCAGGGAATGCACTGGACCCCAGGGAGTCACTAGGATCTCAGGGAATGCAGTGGGATCCCAGGGAATGAATCAGGATCCCAGGGAATTCACCAGGATGCCAGGGATTCACTGGGATGGCAGGGAGGCACTGGGATGCCAGGGAATTCACCAGGGTGCCAGGGAGTCACCAGGATCCCAGGGAATGCACTAGAACCTTGGGATGACACCAGGATGGCAGGGAGTCATCGGGACCCCAGGGTTCACTGGGATCTCAGGGAATTCACCAGGACTCCATGGGTTCAATGGGATGTCAGGGAATGCACCAGGACCCCAGGGAATGCACCGGGATCCCAAGGGATTCACTGGGGAATCCACTGGGATCTCAGGGTTTCACCGGGATTCCAGGAGTCCCTGGGATCCCAGGGAATTCACTGGGATCTCAGGGGTTCACCAGGATTCCAGGGATACAGACACGGGCAGGGATTCCATGGGACATTCCAGGGAGTCCCCAGCACTCCAGGGAATTCACTCACCATGACCATCTTCCTCTGCTCGCAGAGCTTCTGCAGCTGGTAGGATTTCTCCTCGGCTTTGATGTAGCCTTTCTTGACGTCATCAACGGCCTGGGGACGGGAAAAAAAATGGGAAAAATCTGGGAAAAATCTGGGATTTGGGATGGGAGGAGGAGGAGTCACCTCCTGCTCCACCCTCAGGGGTTCCCCCCCAGGTCATTCCCACCCCAATCTCTGTATCCCAAAGGACAGTAGGGCTTGGAGTGCTTCCAGGAGTGCCTCAATCCCATAAAACATGGGTGGAATTCCCAAAGCTGGGATCAACCACTGCACCCCATCACCTCTCCCAACAGGAATGAGCATTCCAGAGGAATTCCAGGTGGGAATTCCTTGGGGGACCTTAAGGTGGGCGGAGAACCTTGGGGTGCCTCAATCCCATAAAAACAACCAAAACCCCATCCCACCTTGGGATCAACTATGGGACCCAAAGACCCTGTGAGGAGTTTTCCCCTCCTGAAGGGGCATTCCAGAGGAATTCCAGGTGGGAATTCCAGGTGGGAATTCCTCACCTGCAGGACCTTGGGGTGGCCCAAGAACCTTGAGGTGTCTCAAAGCAAAGCGCCAACCCACCTTGGGATCAACTATGGGACCCAACAACCCCATGAGGAGTTTTCCCAACCTGAAGGGGCATTCTAGAGGAATTCCAGGTGGGAATTCCTTAGGGGACCTTGGGTTGGCCCAAGAACCTTGGGATGCCTCAATCCCATAAAAACAACCGAAACCCCAACCCACTTTGGGATCAACTATGGGACCCAATGACCCCATGAGGAGTTTTCCCCACCTGAAGGGGCATTCCAGAGGAATTCCTGCTCCGAATTCCATGGGGAACCTTGAGGTGGCCCGAGAACCTTTGAGGTGACTCAATCTCATAAAGACAACCAAAACCCCAACCCACCTTGGGATCAACTATGGGACCCAACAACCCCGTGAGGAGTTTTCCCCACCCAAAGGAGCACTCCAGAGGAATTCCAGGTGGGAATTCCGTACCTGGTGGAAGAAGTAGGCGACGGCCAGGTCGTTGTCGTTGAGCAGCGCCTCCTCCTCGGTGGTGAAGAGCCACTTGCGTAGGGTCAGGCACGTCCCCGGCACGGCCGAGGTGTAATTCTGCACGTAGAGCTTGTGGGGGAACTCGTTGGGAGCCAGCTTCCGCACTGGGAACGGCCCGGGAGATCCCGGAGAGGCCGTGGAATGTCGGGGTCAGGGCGTGGGGAGGACAGGGGTTCCAGGAGAGCCAAAAAAATCGGCGTTAAAATGGGGGTTTTCCCACAGGGAACCGTCAAAAATGATCGCAAATCTTTCCAGAGTGATCCCAAATCCTTCCAGAATGACCCTAAATTCTTCTAGAATGACCACAAATCCTCCAGAATGGTCGCAAAATTATCCCCGAATCCTCCAAGATGATCCCAAGCCCTTCCAAAATTATCCCCGAATCCTTCCAGAATGATCCCAAATCCCTCCAAAACCCCTGGAATCTGGAGGAATATCCCAAAAATCCCGGGCGTGGTTCTGCATGTAGAGCTTGTGGGGGAACTCGTTGAGAGCCAACTTCTGCACTGGGAAAAGCTGGGGAATCAGGGGAACATTCCCTCAAATTGTGCCAGGGGAGGTCCAGGTTGGATATTCAGGAATGTTTCCCCATGGAAAAGGTGATCAGGTGTTGGATGGGGATGCTCAGGGCAGGGTGGAGCCACCATTCCTGGGAATTATCCCAAAAACTCCTGGAAGTGGCACCTGGGAGACAGGATTTAGTGGGACTGACCTCAATCTCAGCGGGCTTTTCCAGCCAGGATGATTCCCCATCCCTGGGAATGCCCAATTCCAGCTTGGATCAATCTGGGACAGTGCGGGGTCCCAAGATCCCAAGGATCTTTAAGGATCTTTTCCATCCCAAACCGTTCCAGGATTCCCTGTCCTGCTTTAATGGGATTTTAGGGATAAATCCTTCCCTATCCCAGGTTATTCCATGGATTCCCCATCTCTGGAATCATCCAAAACCAGGTTGGAGCAGCCTGGGATGGCGGGAGCCGTCCCTGCCCCATGAAATCCACATTCCCATCCTAAGGAACCTGCGGATCCCTTCATTCCCCTTTTTTCCCAGCTTTTTTTTTCCCCTAAATCCCACGGAATTCCGGGCTCACCGAAGGAGTGGTTGATGACCTCGAAGAGGGCGAAGTAGTTGGCGGTGATGCTGTCCATGCCCACCTTGGCAGCCACCGCCTGGAAAACGCCGGGAAAACGGGATCAGCGCCAGCCGGGCGTTCCCGGGAATTCCCTGACCACGGAAAACCCGGTTGGAACTCTGCCAGCACAACCAGGCCAGCTCTTCAATCCCGTTCTGCTCCCTGATTCCTGGGGATGTCGAGGTTGTGGGGTCTCCACAATTCCAGCCTGGATTGCCCAGGGAAAAGGAGTGGGAATTCCCATCTGGGATCATTCCACTGCCTAAAATTGGTGTGGAATTCCATGGGATCTGTCCTGAACACACCCAAATCCCGTTTATCCATGGGATTCTGGAATTCCTGCTCTTTTCCAGCAGAGGTTTCATCTCCTTTTTCCAAAGGAGATGAAAACTCTGTGTTTTCCCTGTGTTATTTTATTCCCCATAATCCTTGGATCCAGTGGATCCCAATGCTCAAAAAACAGGGGAAAATCCAGGTGGGAAAAAGGAAAATTCAGGTGGGAAAAAGAAAAATCGAGTTGAGGGGATGGAAATTCCAGGTGGGAAGGGCAGTTCCAGGTGGCAAAAGTGGAAATTCCAGGTGGGAAAAAGGAGAATTGAGGTGAGGGGAAGGAAATTCCACGCGGGAAAGAGGAAAATCCAGGTGAGGGTGGGGAAATCGAGTTGAGGGGATGGAAATTCCCAGTGGGAAGGGCAATTCCAGGTGGGAATGGGCTCACCTGGTACACCTGGTCCGTGGTGCTGTTCTTCTTCACCCTCACTGTCACCGTGGTGACGTCCGGGAGCGCAACCCGCAGCTCCACGTCGGAGACGCCGTTGTAGTTCTGGGAAAAAGGGAAGGGAAAATCCCCAAAACATCAGGAATTCCCGGTTTTCCAGTTATTTGTGATCCCTGAAAATCCCCAGTGGGAATTCAGCATGGGAGGAGGTTGGGTTCTTCTCCTGAGGGAATGGCCAGGGAGCTCCAGGTGGGATATTTGGGAGAAATCCCCCATGGAATTCCTTCATCCCTTCGTGGTCAGCGCTGCCCAGGGCACTGTGGAATTGCCATCCTGGGGATCGTCCCAGACTGGGGCTTTGGGACCAATCCCCCTCTGGAATTCCTGCTCATTCCTGGTGTGTTCCCTGGATCCCGAAGGGTTGTGGGGTTTGGAGGAATTCTGGGAGCTTGGGGTGCCTCAATCCCATAAAAAAGAGGAAGAATTGTCCCCAAAACCCATGGATGTGGCACTTGGGGACAGGGATCAGGGGTGGCCTTGGGGACAGTTGGATATGAGGAGCTTCGAGGGCTTTTCCATGATTCCATGGAAGAGTTTTTCCCTATGGAATTCGGGTGGACCAAGCCTCAATCCCACCAAAACCGGTTGGAATTGTCCCAAAACCCCATGGATGTGGCACTTGGGGACACAGACCAGGGTGGCCTTGGGGATGGTTGGACAGGAGGGGTTTTCCCACCTTGGCGATTCCATGGAAGGGTTTTTTCCATGGAATTCTGCGGGATGATGGCACCCACCTCGTCCGACTCCGACAGGAACTCCTGCATGATGTCGCTCTCGCCGATGACCCGGATGGAGCACACTGTGGGACACAAGGAATGTCACATGGAATGTCACCAGGACCTGGAATGTCCCCTCCAGGGGCAGCCCAGCAACCCTTTCCCATCATCCCGACTCATCCTGAAGGGAATTCCTGCACCGGGGTCACCTCCTGTCCCCAGTGTCACCATTAACTGAGGAAATTCCTGCACCGGGGTCACCATTAACTCCATGTTCTCCAGGTCCTGGTGTCCCTCATGGATCCAGACCCTCTCCAAGGTGACTGAGTGTCCCCTGGGTCACCTCCTGTCCCCAGTGTCACCGTTAACTCCATGTTAATTCCATATCCTGGTGTCACTCATGGATCCAGACCTTCTCCAAGGTGGATCAGGCCAACACCTGCAGTGCCCTGAGTGTCACGTGTGTCACCTCCTGTCCCCTGGGTCACCTCCAGTGTCACCGTTAACTCCATGTTCTTTATGTTCTGGTGTCCCTCATGGATCCAGACCCTCTCCAAGGCGGATCCACCCCAAAATCCCACCCAACCACCCCAAACCTCACAGAGCAAATACACAAATGGATCAGGAATACCCCCGGGAATGTCGGTGAGGGGTTTTGGGAGGAGGAAGGATTTGGGATAAGGGTTTCTGGGATGAGGAAGGATTTTAGGGTGAGGGGTTTTGGGATGACAGATTGGGGTGAGGAGGGATTTTGGGATGAGGAGGGATTTTGGGATGAGGGATTGAGGTGAGGAGGGGTTTTGGCATAAGGAGAGATTTTGGGGTGAGAAGGTTTGGGATGAGGGATCTGGGTGAGGGATTTTGGGAGGAGGAGGGATGGGATTTTAGGGTGAGGGATTTTGGGATGAGGAGGGATTTTGGGATGAGGAGGGATTGAGGTGAGGAGGGGTTTTGGCATAAGGAGAGATTTTGGGGTGAGAAGGTTTGGGATGAGGGATCTGGGTGAGGGATTTTGGGAGGAGGAGGGATTTTCAGGTGGGGATTGGGCTGAGGATGGATTTAGGGACGAGGAGGGATTTTGGGTTGCAGGATTTTGAGCTGAGGGATTTTGGTCTGAGGAGGGATTTTGGGACGAGGAGGGATTTTCAGGTGGGGATTGGGCTGAGGATGGATTTAGGGACAAGAAGGGATTTTGAGGTGCGGGATTGGGCTGAGGATGGATTTAGGGACGAGGAGGGATTCTGGGGGGCGGGATTGTTCTGAATAGGGATTTAGGGACGAGGAGGGATTCTGGGGGGCGGGATTGTTCTGAATAGGGATTTAGGGACGAGGAGGGATTCTGGGGGGCGGGATTGTTCTGAATAGGGATTTAGGGACGAGGAGGGATTCTGGGGGGCGGGATTGTTCTGAATAGGGATTTAGGGACGAGGAGGGATTCTGGGGGGCGGGATTGTTCTGAATAGGGATTTAGGGACGAGGAGGGATTCTGGGGGGCGGGATTGTTCTGAATAGGGATTTAGGGACGAGGAGGGATTCTGGGGGGCGGGATTGTTCTGAATAGGGATTTAGGGACGAGGAGGGATTCTGGGGGGCGGGATTGTTCTGAATAGGGATTTAGGGACGAGGAGGGATTCTGGGGTGCGGGATTGTTCTGAGGATGGATTTAGGGATGAGGAAGGATTTTGGGTGTGGGATCGGTCTGAGGATGGATTTAGGGACGAGGAGGGATTTTGGGGTGCGGGATTGTTCTGAATAGGGATTTAGGGACGAGGAGGGATTTTGGGGTGCGGGATCAGTCTGAGGATGGATTTAGGGACGAGGAGGGATTTTGGAGCAGCTCACCCTTCTCCAGGTACTCCTCCAGGCCCCTCCTGCGGGCGTCCAGCTGCTGCTCGGACAGCGAGAACGGCCACTTGCCCGGCAGGCGCGGGAAGGTGAAGTTGGCGAATTCCCGCTTCAGGTTCTGGTGCAGGATGGCGAATTCCCGGTAGCGCTTGGAGCACAGCTGCCGCCCGGCCATGTAAACGTTGTACACCTGGGGAGAGCCCCCAGAATTCCCAAATGTTCCCCACAGCTCGGCTGTGCCTGCCCTCCAGGAGTGAGGGGTTTGGGGAGAGAGGAAGGGTGTCCCTGCTGATCCCGGCATTCCAGGGCCTCAGGAATCCCAAATCTTGGGATTCAGGGTCATGGATACTTCCCACGAGACACTGAGAGGTCCCAAACTCCCCATTTTCCACACAAAGGCCAAAATATTGGGATTTAAGTTCCTGGCTCCTTCCCATGGAATGCAGAGAGATCCCAAACTCCCCATGTTTCATCCACAGCCTCAAAACTCGGGATTTGGGATCATGGATGCTTCCCATGAGATACTGAGAGATCCCAAACTCTTCATGTTGCATCCAAAGCCCCAAACTATGGGATTTTAGGCCAAATCCCACTCTGGGATTTCACCATTCCTATATTCCAATGTATTCCAATAGTCCTGTATTCCTGTGTCCAACATTCTAATATTACTATATCATAACAGTCCTGTATCCCTTTATTTCAATATTCCTATATTTCAATAATCCCATGTTTCAATATTCCTATATTTCAATACTTCAACAGCCCTGTTTCCCTAAATTCCAATATTCCTAAATTTCAGCATTCCTATATTTCCATGTTCCTTCCAACATTCCAACAATCCTAAATTCCTACATTGCAACGTTGCTAAATTTCAGCATTCCTATATTCCAATGTTCCTGTATTCCAACATTCCAAAATTCCTACATTGCAACATTGCTAAATTTCAGCGTTCCTACATTCCAACAATCCTATGTTCAATATTCCAACATTCCTATATCCTGTATCATAACATTCCTCCATCTTATATCATAACATTCCTATATCCTATATAATAACATTCCTATATCATAACATTCCCATACTTCAACAATCCTACATTTCAGCCCCACTACTCACTGCGAACAACCCCCCTACCCCCACGAACAAACAAAACCCCAAACCCACAGATTTCCACCCCATTCCCAGGGGGAAAAAGCCTCACCACGAACTTCTCCCCGCTCTGCTCCACGTGTTTGTAGGTGGGGATGGAGATGGGCACCGCCTGCTTCTCGCTGTAGTCGTAGAAGGGCGGCCCCAGCGGCTCCTCGGGCGGCTCCAGGCTCTCGGCCTCGTGCGGCGGCACCGACAGCACCGTCAGCACCAGCTCCTTCTCCCCGGCGCGGATCAGATCCACCACCTGCTTGTGCGTGGCTCCCTCCACGATCACCCCGTTCCTAAAGGAAAAATATCCCAAATTCCCATGGAGCAGAGCCTCCACCTGCTTGTGTGCGGCTCCTTCCATGTTCACCCCGTTCCTACAGGGAACAAATCCCAAATTCCCATGGAGCAGAGCCTCCACCTGCTTGTGTGCGGCTCCTTCCATGTTCACCCCGTTCCTACAGGGAACAAATCCCAAATTCCCATGGAGCAGAGCCTCCACCTGCTTGTGTGCGGCTCCTTCCATGTTCACCCCGTTCCTACAGGGAACAAATCCCAAATTCCCATGGAGCAGAGCCTCCACCTGCTTGTGTGCGGCTCCTTCCATGTTCACCCCGTTCCTACAGGGAACAAATCCCAAATTCCCATGGAGCAGAGCCTCCACCTGCTTGTGTGCGGCTCCTTCCATGTTCACCCCGTTCCTACAGGGAACAAATCCCAAATTCCCATGGAGCAGAGCCTCCACCTGCTTGTGTGCGGCTCCTTCCATGTTCACCCCGTTCCTACAGGGAACAAATCCCAAATTCCCATGGAGCAGAGCCTCCACCTGCTTGTGTGCGGCTCCTTCCATGTTCACCCCGTTCCTACAGGGAACAAATCCCAAATTCCCATGGAGCAGAGCCTCCACCTGCTTGTGTGCGGCTCCTTCCATGTTCACCCCGTTCCTACAGGGAACAAATCCCAAATTCCCATGGAGCAGAGCCTCCACCTGCTTGTGTGCGGCTCCTTCCATGTTCACCCCGTTCCTACAGGGAACAAATCCCAAATTCCCATGGAGCAGAGCCTCCACCTGCTTGTGTGCGGCTCCTTCCATGTTCACCCCGTTCCTACAGGGAACAAATCCCAAATTCCCATGGAGCAGAGCCACCACCTGCTTGTGCGTGGCTCCCTCCACGTTCACCCCGTTCCTAAAGGAAAAAAATATCCCAAACTCCCATTGAAATCCCATGGAGCAGATCCACCACCTGCTTGTGCCTGGCTCCCTCCACGTTCACCCCATTCCTAAAGGAAAAATATCCCAAATTCCCATGGAGCAGATCCACCACCTGCTTGTGTGCGGCTCCTTCCATGTTCACCCCGTTCCTACAGGGAAAAATATCCCAAATTCCCATGGAGCAGATCCACCACCTGCTTGTGTGCGGCTCCTTCCATGTTCACCCCGTTCCTAAACGGAGCAAATCCAAAATTCCCATGGAAGTGCTGAAGACATTCCCACACCACCTCCAGAGAACATTCCTGACATTCCCAAGAACCTCATGGAAAGGATCTGGCTTTGCCCAGAAAATCTGGGTCACACCTTGGGCAGCCTGTTTAGGAAAGCTCATCCCAATCTGCTCCCAACTTCCTGGAATCCCACAGAAGTGCTTTAGACCCAAGACATTCCCAAAGCCACTTCTAGAACATTCCTGCCATTCCCAAGAGCTCCATAGCCCAGATCTGACTTTGCCCAAAAAGTCTGGATCGAACCTCACTCAGGAAAACTCATCCCAATCAATCCCAAACCTTCCAGAATCCCATGGGAACACTGAAGACATGAAACATTCCCAAGCCACCTCAAACATTCCTGATATTCACAAGAACCCCATGGCACAGACCCATAGCCCAGATCTGACTCTGTCCAAAAAGTCTGGATCGAACCTCACTCAGGAAAACTCATCCCAATCAATCCCAAACCTTCCAGAATCCCATGGGAACACTGAAGACATGAAACATTCCCAAGCCACCTCAAACATTCCTGATATTCACAAGAACCCCATGGCACAGATCTGGACTTGCCTGGAAAATCTGGATCACACCAGCTCAGGAAAAGTCATCTCAACCAGCCCCAAACTTCCTGGAAACACTGAAGAATCCCATGGAAATACAGAAAATATTCCCAAGCCACTTCTAGAACATTCCTGACATTCCCAAGAGCTCCGCAGTCTGGATCTGGCTTTGCCCAGAAAACGCGGATCAAACCTGCCCTGGAAAACTCATCCCAAGCAATCCCAAAAATTTCCAAGGCAGCGCTGGGTTTTCCATCCCATAAAATGGAAATTGAGCCCACGGAGAGAGGGACAGTCCAACCTCCTGAGGGAAAAGCCTTTGGCCTCACCCATGAATGTTGGCAAGACGCAGATTCCAGAGGTTATTCCATCAAAACCTGACACCTGCCCAGTGCTGCACCTGTTCCAGAGGTTTCCCTGCAGCAGGAATGAGTCTGGTGGGATGCAGGATCCCCCAGCCCTGCCCACCTCACCCAAATCCAGCTGTTTTCCCACTCAGTGTTACGGATAAATCCCTTTTTCCTCCATTCCATCCTCCCCCAGCAGCTCTGGAGCATCTCTTCCTGGTGGATTGGAGATGATCGACATTCCGGGCGCTAATCAAGAGCTCAATTAGCTCCCATTGTCTGCCTCGGATGCTCCCAGGGATTCTGGAGCATTCCAAAGCCTTGGGAAGGCACAGGGAGGAGCTGGATGCTGGATCTGGGAGAGAGGGAGGGATGGAAAAAGGGCCTGGAGCATCCAGGCAGCACCTGGAGCATCCATTGGTGCTGGATTGGGAAGAGTGGATTTTTCATGGAAAACACGCTTAAGTGGCTGATCTCCAGGCTTTTCCAGGACAGGGATGAGCTGTGGAGAGCCAGAGCCACAGCTGAGTGCCCCCATCCCAAATATCCCCCATAAATCCCAGCAGGAATTCCTCAGGAGCAGAACAACCTCCTCGCTCAGCCTCTTCCTCCCCAAAAATTCCCCTCCTCGGGGCCGGTCTGCTGGGAATTCCAGGAGGTGGGAAGGAAATCCTGCATGGAATCAACACCCTGAACACCCCAAACCCACCCAGGCAGCTCCTCCCGGAGCTCCAGGGCCTGGATTTTGGGGAGTTCCCTCTGGAGGAAGCGGGATGGCCGGGAGAGCGGATTTCCCGCCCTGATCCCGCTGCTCCCGTGAAAGGAAGGGAAATCAGAGCTATTTTGGGAGTCCTGGGTCATTGTTTCCTCCTCCAGGAATTCCAGGAGTTGGGATTTTCACAGATCCCAGGAAAATGAGAGGGGTTTCATGCTGCCAGAACAGGGATGGGACTTGGGAATTCTGGGGTGGTTTCTGCAGCAAAAGATGGGAATGCTGGGATATGGGAATTGGGTAATCTTGGAATATAGAAAAATGGGGATATTGGAATGTAGGGACATTGAATTATTGGAATATTGGTATATTGGAATGTAGGGAAATAGGAATATAGCAGGGTTGGAATACTGGGATATTGCAATACTGAAATATTGGAATATCGAAATATTGGAATATCAAAATATTGGAATATCAAAATATTGGAATATCAAAATATTGGAATATTGACATATTGGAATATTGAAATATTGGAACACAGGAATATTGAAATACTGAAATATAGGAAAATTGAAATATAGGAAAACAGGGCTATTGGGAAATTGAAATATTGGAACACTGGATTATGGAAATATTGGGACAGAGGAATACTAGAATATTGAAATATTGGGATACATAAATACTGGAATAGGGCAAGAGCCAACCTGGCAGCCCTACAGGGCACAGGGACAAATTAAAGCCACTTCTCCCAGGAAATAAACGAATAAACCAAGAGGAAATTCCCAATCCTTCCACCTCCCATAGGGATATCAGGACTGGCAGACCACAAGCAAACCCTCTTCATTAACTATCATTAACCTCAGGGCTTAATTATTCCACACACCATGCCCCGGTTCTCACCTGGCACCAGCCACTGAACCCCAAAATTCCAGCACCAAGCTCCAAACCTCTCCCTCATGCCAAACCCAGCGTTTTAAATGCTCCCCAAACCACTCAAAAATGAGGGAAAATTTCATCCCCGTGCCCACAAAACCCTCCCCCCTCAGCTGGGAACGCTGCTCCCCCCATTGGCACATCCAGGTGCAGAATTCCCTCTGCTCCCGCACGGAAAAATCAAAGGATCGGGAATTTGGGTCAGCTGGGACAGAGCCCAATCCCAGCTGGGATTTCTGCAGGTCCTGACAGCTCCTCACACCCCTTGGGCTTCCAGAGCTGGCAGCAAAACATTCCTGCAGCTCGGAAATCCCTGGAATTAATCAGTAATTGGACTTAACCGACCTGGAGCGAAGTGCGACGGTGGGAGGATCCGGAGGGATCCCTGAAAACCAACCCCCAAGCTGGGATTTGAGGGATTCCAGCCCAAAACCAGCTGCAAAGTTTGAGGGTTTTTGAGGGGGAAAGGAAGATGAGTTTCCACACAGCAGGAATATTCCCATGGGAAGGTGTTCTCTGGGTTAAAGTTACAGTTTTGGGTGTGAAAAAGCAGCAGCCGGAGAACACGAATAAGAAAAGGAAGGAAGTGTCTTCCAGGATGGAATCCAAGGGGTTTATCCCTAAAAATGCTCTTTTGCCCTCCCCAGGATGGTCCTCACACTGAACTCTGAGAGGTTTATCCTTAAAAATGCCCCCTGCCCTTCCTGGGAGCCCCTGTGTTGAAATCCAAGGGGTTTATCCCTAAAATTTCCCCCTGACCTCCCCAGGAGGGACCCCATGTTGAAATCCAAGGGTTACCCCTTGAGAGGCTCCTGTAAGACCCCCCAAAACCCCCAGTAAGGGTTGGGAGGGCTCAGCCCCCTCCTCAGGACCCCCCAAATTCCCCTCAAGGGCCGGGCGCTCATGACACCCTCAGCAAGGGACCCTCAGCCCCCCCAAGACCCCCCCTTTTGTCCCCCCCAACCCTAAAAATGCTCTTTTGCCCTCCCCAGGATGGTCCTCACACTGAACTCTGAGAGGTTTATCCTTAAAAATGCCCCCTGCCCTTCCTGGGAGCCCCTGTGTTGAAATCCAAGGGGTTTATCCCTAAAATTTCCCCCTGACCTCCCCAGGAGGGACCCCATGTTGAAATCCAAGGGCCGGGCGCTCATGACACCCTCAGCAAGGGACCCTCAGCCCCCTCAAGACCCCCCTTTTGGACCCCCTAAACCTCACCAAGGGATCCTCTGCCCCCTTGGTGCCTCCTCAGGACCCCCCAAATTCCCACAAAGAGCTGGGTGGTCTCATGACACCCTCACCAAGGGATCCTCTGCCCCCTTGGTGCCTCCTCAGGACCCCCCAAATTCCCACAAAGAGCTGGGGGGGGTCTCATGACCCTCACCAAGGGACCTTCAGGTCCCTCAAAACACCCAGATCCCCTCCAAGGGCTGGGGGTCTCACCCCCACTCATGACACCCTCACCAAGGGACCTTCAGGCCCCTCAAAACACCCAGATCCCCTCCAAGGGCTGGGGGTCTCACCCCCACTCATGACACCCTCACCAAGGGACCTTCAGGCCCCTCACGACGCCCCAAATCCCCACCAAGGGTCGCGGGCTCCCCCTCCTCCCCAGTCACACCCTCACCAGGGGACCCTCAGAGCCCCCCACACCCCCCAAACATCTCCAAAGGGCGCTCAGCCCCCTCAGGATTCCCCCCAAACCCCCAGCAAGGGCCGGGGGTCTCAGTCCCTCCTCACCACACCATCCTCAGCCCCCCTCACAAAACCCCCCAAGAGCCGGGGGGTCTCAATCCCCCTCATGACACCCTCAGCACCCCAACACCGCACCAAGGGCTCGGTGTCCCCTCAGCCCGGGCCCCCCAGAGCCCCTCATGGTCCCCAGACTCCTCATGGCCTCCAGAGCCCCTCAGGGCCCTCTCAGGGTACCCTGAGCTCCTCACAACCCTCAGAGCCCCCTCAGTCTCCTCAGAGCCCCCTCAGGGCCCTCAGCCCGGGCCCCCCAGAGCCCCTCATGGCCTCCAGAGCCCCTCATGGCCTCCAGAGCCCCTCAGGGCCCCCTCAGGGTACCCAGAGCTCCTCACGCCCCTCAGAGCCCCCTCAGAGCCCCCTCAGTCTCCTCAGAGCCCCCTCAGGGCCCTCAGAGCCCCTCACAGCCCTCAGAGTCCCCTCATGGTCCCCAGAGCCCCCTCAGAGTCTCCTCACAGCCCTCAGAGCCCCCTCACGGTCCCCAGCCCCCTCAGAGCCCCCTCACGGTCCTCAGAGCCCCCTCAGAGCCCCCTCACAGCCCTCAGAGCCCCCTCAGCCATGGGAACGGGCTGTGTGTTGCCATGGAAACGGGCAGGCAGCGCTGTTTGCGGCAGTGCAGTCTGGTGACCCTCAAGGGACTGAGGGAGCCCCCAAAACCCTGCAGAACCCAGAACAGTCCGCTCAACAACCTGAGCAGGACCCTGCTGCTTCCCGAGCTGAACAAACAAAAACCGTTTATCCCGGTTTAATCAAAAAGCTGCGCTTTGGGTCCAGTAAGAGGAACAAGGGTCCACCCGGGGCCGGCTGCCGGGGGGCTGTGGGTGGGCGGCCCCCCCGTACTCACACCTCCAGGATGCGGTCCCCCTTGCGCACCCCGGCGCGGTCGGCGGCCCCTCCGCCCAGCACGGCGCTGACGTGCTGCAGCGGCGCGTACAGCTCGCCGTTGATGCTGCGCAGCTGCCCGCCTTCGCTCACTTGCCCGCGGACGTTGAAGCCGTAACCCGACTCGGACTTGACGATGCGGACGACGCGGGGCCCGCCCGGGGGTCCCTCCCCGGCCCCGTTCCGCGCCCCCGGCCGCGCTTCGCCCTCCTCGTCCGCCATCTTGGCGTCCGCGCACGGCGCGCGTCACGAGACCGGGCCCGCGCCGGCCCCCGTAGGGACCCACCCCCTCCCGTCCGCGCCGCGGGGTGCGATGGGAAATGGAGTCCGCGGAGCTGCCGAGCGCCGTTAGCGCGCCGCGGGCCGCGGGGGGTGATGGGAAATGCAGTCAGAGAGACAGGGAGGCGGGGAGAGCACCGCGCATGCGCCGTGGGCGTGGGAACGGGGGTGTCGCCATGGGAACGGGGCTGTTGTCATGGGAAAGCAGGGGGTGTTGCCATGGAAACCGAGGGGCTGTTACCATGGCAACGGGGAGAGGCGGGCGTGGGAGCGGGGCTAACATGGGCCATGGGCTTGGGGGGCTGTTGCCATGGGAACGGGGGGGCGTAGGCATGGGAATGGGAGGGGCTGTTGCCATGGTAACGAGGGGGTGTGGGAACGGGG